ACTTAGTCTTGATGAGCCTTGTATCATGACCATTCTTTTGGATAACTCCTTGGATAGCACCTTGGTCAACTTATAAACTCCTAAGAAACCAACAAGTGGACTTCAAGAAATGCCTACGGACAAACCCTTCAAATATAACTCAAGGCAATCATTAGTCCATAGAGATTGTCATCAATTACCAAAATCAAACATGGGGGCACCACATGTTCTTTCAGTTGAGTTTATTGCTCGATATTGAGAAGTTTCCACATGTGTCCACACTAACGGACAAAACTCTACATCTTCTATTTCAAGAGAGAGCACATCCTCGCCTCTTACTTTCTATAGGGGAGCATGTAACCCTATATTTGAAATGTGTTATCTTGTAAATTTAAAATATTTCTGCTGGTGTGAGTACATTGCCATTTTGGGAACAAAACTTCTCATAGAAAGGCTAAGTAGTAACACTACTGCAGGATGCTGCTAACGCGACACTACGATCAGAGACCCTTCGAGAAACTGTGTGCGATGCAATGATCGCAAACGGTGTAGGAAAGCCGTCAAAATGTATAAAATGTTTGCGATGACGGATGCATCAAACACGGTTCAGGTTTTAGTTGCGTGTGCGATGAAGGGCATACGGTTTAGTTCAATTATCTGTTTGCGATGAGGAGGAACAAAAGAAACGAGCAACCAGATGAAGGTGTGTGCGATGTACAACATACGGTTCACTCGGATGAACTGTTTGTGATTAGGCAACACAAAAGAAATGGACAGCCCGGTCAAGGTGTGTGCGATGTACAGCATGCGGTTCACTCGGATGAATTGTTTGTGATTAGGCAAGAGAACATAAACGGTTCAATATAACAAGATGTGTGTGATACGTGGCAAACAGGTCTGTAATCAGAAATTGTGCGAAGACCGATAATAACGCAAACGATTGCTTCTATTAAGACATATGTGATATGCTCTGTCTACACAATATCTATTGGCCATTGTGGGCTGGGCGGTCATCCGGATACGTGGCATACAATTGATCCATCCGACATATTTGTGATGGAATAGGCCGTGTTTGTTGTGGGAAAACACTTGCTAGTATTCAACCGTTTGGGATTGATGAATTCATCACCGACGGGATCCCTAGTGTGGTCCGTGTTCATCTGATCATCATCTACTTCTTGTGCTAGCTCGATGCTAAGTTTCCATTAATTGATGGCATTTTATGAACACGCCACCGTTTCCCGCCATTTCCTCACATGTTTCCCGCCACCCTGCTATATTGCGCATAGTGGGGGCGCGACGCACGGAGGCGACAAGCGAAGCCTGTAGCACATCCACCTTTTCCAAGCATGCCAACCCTCCAAAGCACCGCATCTGCCATCAACCTCGTCGACGAGGAAAACGAGTAGGCGCCACGGCCCGTCGAGGCCGAGGCGCTCCCCGGCGACGTGATGGACGACGTTGTGATGCGTGTCATCGCCAGGGTTGAGCAGACCTTTGCGCATGGCGCTTGAGCATCGCGGATCAAGATAGGCATGTCAGCGCCGACAGGCTGCAACTCGCCGCACAACATGATCGATGGCGTGCCGCAGAGCAAGCTAGGCGCGTCCGCGCCGATAGGCTATGGCTCACCGCATGGCGAGACCGTTTGGAGCGCCGCAGAGCGAGAGGCGCGGCGTGCCGCACAGCAAGAGCGGATCCATCGGCGCTTGCCTACTGTCGACACGGAGTCGCAGCTGGGTACACGTCCCGTCAGTACCCCCATTCCTCACCAGGAGTGGGCAGAGGCCCCAGCGTCGTACTTGCACCAGATGTCGGTCACGCCGTACTTGCACCGGACGCCCGCCGCGCCGTTCGCATGGGTGCCACCGTTCGCCTTGTCCGCGGCCCGCTGGATGCCAACGCGCTGGTCTGTAGGCTCGACCGCCTCCTTGCCCCAAGTGTCCACCTGGGCGCAGTAGAGGAACATGGCTGTCGCATCCTCGAGCTGGTGATCTCCGATGAAATAGCCAACTTGGAGCTCGAGATTGCGCTCCAGATGTACCACGAGCGTGTCGGCCGCTTGGACGAATGCCTGCACGAGTTCAGGCAGAGCCAAGAGCTACCCTAGGCAAGGGCTACCGGTCATGGTCTCATGGACGCGTTTTATTTTGAAAACTTGTTTCGATGTGGATAGCTTTGTATTCACAACAATCATAGTATTGCTCTGTTTATTGCTCTATTTCAATGTGTGTACTCTTTTTCCATTCTTATATGTTCTGTTTCAATGTGTGTGTATACGCTTTCAATTCTGTATATGTGGATGATAACAGCTAGATTCAAATTAGTATACAAAAATAGATAGAAAATTAAATTCACAATATATATATATATATTAATTGTTCATTAGATCATCACAGAATATATATATATATAATATCATCGCACATACGTGATGATACTTAACTACTATGTACAATGAATAAAATTGAAAATGGACAATACTAAAACTAATAATCCCTCCTGGGGCCAGTATTCCGGTAGCCCCTCGCCATCAGCTCCCTGGTGTGCGGCATCTTCCCAGTGCGGAGGCAGTACTCCGACTCCTCCGCCTCGCAGTGCTTGACATACCGATCTGCCTCTTGCTGGTGGACGCGCGCGACCGATCTTGCCATTTCGTTGGGCGCCCATCGGAGCTCCTTGTCGGTGGCACGATGGAGCTTATCAGCCCACCTCCACGCAGCGACGAGGCGCCCAGCACCTATGACCTTCCTCGTGAAGTACCCGTCTTCGTACACCTCCTCGGCATGATGATGCGCCCGCCCCCAAAGCTCCGCCGCCTCCTTTTTCCAGGCACCATCATGGGCTTCACAGGCAGCCTGGTACCTGGCTTCCTCCTCCGCCATCTCCTTCTTGAACGCCACTTGCCTGGCTTTCTCAGCCGGCGGCAGCAACTTCCACTGACAAAGATTGTACTAGCCCCAAAACTAATCCAAAGTTGGGGGGTCCAACGCAACCTCGTCAGGCGGCGCATAGGGGTCCTCGTCACTGCTAATCGAGTGAGCATCCTCATTGGGCGGTGACTCCTCGTCGGCGCGTGGGCAGACCGGCGGCGCCATGGCAGAGATTTGAGAGAGAGAAAGAGAGAGAGAGATGGCGAGCGAGGGAACGATGTAGATGAGAATGCAGGCGGGACAACGTGAGCAAGGTAGTATTTATTGGTGGTGGGAATATAGATCAACGGGGACATTACAAACGCCGGTCGCCGGAATTTATGAGTACTGTAGTTTGAATTACACACGATTCCCGCTCCAAAATCCATGTGTGAACATAATAGCCAAAATTCATGTGTGAACATAATAGCTGACGGTTTCCAATGCAGAACCGTGTCTGATTAATGATCCCCGCCATTCACCTACCAAACTTCGAGCCGCGAGATAGACTGTCAATCGTGTGGGGGCCGGTTGTCTTGCCAGATCTTTACATTTTCTTTTTTGAACACCAGATATTGACATCGTCTGATGATTTTTTAACTCGCACACAAGTACACAAAAATATGATTTTTCAAACCGTTTAGGTTAGGCGTTGCATGCAGATGTAGTTCAAATTTGAATCGCGGTCATTAAATGGTTAGAAAATCACTTAAATGTCTTTAAAAGGTCAAATGACCCTTGAAATTTTCCAAATTTTCACATGACAGTTGTATTAGTGCACGTTAAACGTAGGAAAAAATTTTGAAAGCCGTAAGAGGAAGCTATCTCCCGTCCGTCAGCAAACATGCATTGTTCCCTCTCGGAACCATGAACCTTCTAGTGAGTTGCTCCGGTTTGTGAGGGGTGTGTGTCCAAACTTTCGTTAAATAGGCCAATTTTTACCACATCATCTTGGTGGCATGCCATTAAATCAAGCAAGGTTTCATGTTTTTCTGATCAATTTTCGATTTTTTTTGGAATTAAAATGCCATGGCATGCACTCCATGCACGTGCCCATGCCTTAACACCAATATGTTTGAAAATTCCTTCGAATTTACTGCACATGTAATTAACTCGCACACAAGTACACAAAAATATGATTTGTCAAACTATTATGGTTATGCGTTGCATGTAGATATAGTCCAAATTTGAATTACGGTCATTAAATGGTTAGGAAATCACTTAAATGTCTTTGAAAGGTCAAATGACCCCTGAAATTTGCCAAATTTTCACATGATAGTTGTATTAGTGCACGTTAAATGTATGAAAAAATTTGAAGGCCGTAAGAGGAAGCTATGTCCCATTCGTCATCAAACATGCATTGTTCCCTCTCGGAACCACGAACCTTCTAGCGAGTTGCTCCGGTTTGTGAGGGGTGTGTGTCCAAACATTCGTCAAACATGCCAATTTCTTTACCACATCATCTGGTGGCATGACATTACATCAACCAAGGTTTCATGTGTTTCTCATCATTTTTCTATTTTCTGAATTAAAATGCCATGTCACTCCATGCATACGTATGCATGTGTCCATGTCGTGAGACCAATATATTTGAAAATTCCTTCTAATTTACTGCACATGGAATTAACTCGCACACAAGTACACATATATAATTTTTCAAAACGTTTTGGTTAGGCGTTGCATGTAGATGTTGTTCGAATGCGCGTAAAGCAGAAGAATCGTTTGCGATGCACACAATCGTTCAAAGTGAATGGTCCGCCGGCACCGCGCGTGTTCAAAGTGAATGTGCCCATGCCTTGGGACCAAAATTTGAATTATCAAACTCATCCCATGCGCGTAAAGAAGAAGAATCGTTTGTGATGCACACAATCGTTCAAAGTGAATGGCCCGGCGACACCGCGCGCAAAGTTTCCCTTCACATTTCCAAAATTTTGGCCTGCCGCCAAAATATATACCCCGCCCCCTTCCCCCCTTCCCCACCCCCTTTTCTCCCCGACCACAAGTCACATTTCCCCTGTTTCCTCCTTCCTTCCTTCCTTCCTTCCTTCCTTGCTAAGCTATAGCCACTTCCTCCCTCTCGCCGTCTCGCATCCTACCGCCGGGGTCGCCATGGTCTTCTTCAAAGACATCTCCAGCGGTTCCTCCTCCGGCGACTACTCCTTCACCACCCGGGTATGCCTCTCTTCTCTCTCTCGGGCTATGACTTGGAATGAAGGATTTTTACCCGGAGGTCGATTTGAGTAGTTTCTTCCTCATGTAGCTCCCTAAGACCATCAGTGGCAACGAATGGAGCAGGGTGGCTGAAGATCTATCTGCTCGTTGTCATCATCAATATCCATGCATGAAGCTACTTGCGTTTGATTCTATGGACACTGGGAGGAAGTTTCTGGCATGTGTAGAGAAGGTTAGACCCTCTTCCATTGTTACAAATCATTTGTTAGATGTGATTCACATACTGTCACGGTCCCAACCCATTCATACCACACCTTCAACCAAACACATCCTAAGACAGTGTCACAGTTTGTACCTGGCATCTTAAATTGTTGTCATCTCATCAACGGTGTCATTAGAAAATTATTTGGCACCGCTTCAGCAGTTTGTGCAGCCAACTTTGGTCCACACATCCGAGCAGCCAAGTAGTAAAATACTAAATCTTTATGGCACGAAGGAACTGGGCATCGGAGCAACTACGTGCTCCGGAGTATGGGTCCCTGATTTTTTTCCGCTGCATCGGCTCGCCAGTTCAGGGCACCTGTGCGAGATGTAGCAACAGTTGTCTTTACACCAATTTTGGCATACATAGTGGATGGCCTTAGTGCTATTAGTTCTATGTTACTAAATTTGTGCATGTACACCTGTTAGTATCAATTTGTTGTCATCCAAACACTGTCTCTATGCTGTTGCAGTTATATTTACCTTCCTCATAAAATGTTCAATTTGTTATTTATTGTACAATTTGGTTGTTGTCTCAGTACCAATTATTTCATTTGCACATTGATCTTTTTGAGAAGATATGTCATAATTAACATATTTCTTCAGTTTTTCAAAATAAGAATTGGTGATTTTCTATGTTGTTATAAATCCATTTCCCCTACAATTGTTACTGGTCTAGTTTTAAATATTATAGGATGAACGGAAGGGTTCTTACTTGGAGTGGGTTGATCAAGAGTGGCCACAATCTTTGAAGATGTGTCTAATGAAGCTCTGGAGCATGTATGAGGAAGTGAACATAGCTAGGCTTGGAGAAAGTCTTGTCAACGCTGAAGCATATTTCAAGATGCGGGATAAAAAGTTGAAGGTGGAGAATGAGCTCAGATTTTTTTTAAAAGATTTTGCTAAGATGGTGTTGGCGAAGGAAGAGGCACTTTCCCAGTTGGCCCGTGCAAAACGGGTGCTTACTGAACTGAAAGCAGAGGTAGATAAGACGAGCCTGGATGATCTCGATTAGGAAAATGAATATATTGTTCTTATGAAGTTGAACTAGCTATATGTTATACTGTGTTGTTTTCATGTAGCTACCATACTGTGATGTTATAATATATTTATGTGCCTGATATGAAATTGGCAAACAGCTGTTCGATATGAAATGTGAATTTGCGTAATATTAAAATTATTAATTGTAAACTAATAAACCTGCTAAATGTGTCATGAACCTTTGCAAACGGTTCTAGCAGTAAAAGAGGTTGCGATGGATAGCCCAATGTCACACAGTTTTCTTCATCAAATCATGTGTGATATAGTTGATAAAAGCAAACAGTTAACCAAGGAAGACTGTGTGTGATAGTTACACCTTTCACACACGAGTCTACACATAAAACTGTGTGGGATTTACGTCCGAACGGAAACGTTTTCCCTGGATTGACTGTATGGGATGTACATAAGAACGGAAACGTATTCCTTGGATTGACTGTGTGTGATATACATACGAACGGAAATGTTTTCTTGGGATTCACCGTGTGGGATGTACATACCTACGAAAATGATTTTTTCGGATTACCGTGTGGGATGTACATACTACGGAAATGATTTCTGGGATTCACCGTGTGGGATGTACATACCTACAAAATTGATTTCTGAGATTCACCGTATGGGATGTACATACCTACGGAAATGATTGGGTTTCGATGCCTCGTCCGATCGCACACGGCCCCAGCCTGGGTCCCAGGAGGGCCTATCCCCGAGATTTCTGGGTCGTGTGGAAAGGACACCCTATCGCACACACTCACTTAGCGACGGTTCCAGATGTCGTCGCGAAAAGGGGTAAAAAACCATTTATTTAGGACCAACGCGCATCAGTATAAGAATGACTAGAGGCAGAGGATTAGTTTGGAACGATGAGTCATTGGTGATTCCCTTCTATAAGAGATTAAGAACTAAGAAGTGCAATGAAGACACCTTGATTTCTATCTAAAACAAAGACACCTTGACTTCTAGTCAATTCCATCAGCAGCTCTATTTTGTCACCCTGCGGCAGTGCTTGAGCAGCAGCCTTTTTCATCCAGCTAGGGAAGAAACCTATGTAAGTGGCAGTGCTTCAATCAAGCTACTTCGTTCCTTGGAACCGCTGTTGTTGGCGTCACAAGGAAGATGTCCGCAGCTGCTTGATGGATGGTCTTCAGTCTCTTGGGTTGTCCTTATGACCTGACTTGTCTACATGGATTTGGTGGTGCCCGTGGTCGGCCAAGGTATGGTCGTAGGGGATTTCTTTGCGATGTAGAAGTGCATGGGGTTGATGGTCATTGTGTGTTGGATATGGTGTCGGGCTGATCATGCGATTAGAGGGTTGCATGCTCTGTGAGTAATCCATATATGGTTGTCTTGTATGTCGTCTGGTTTTCATTAGTTTACTGGGCAATTATATTCCGCTTAATTAATCCATGATGCAAATCTATTGCCTCGTTTTGAAAAAAGAATCTACACTACTACTCCCTCTGTTTCATAATATACTACTCCTTCCGTCCCATCATATATTATGGGACGAAGGGAGTCTAATTTTGTATCCATCCCTAGACACCCACGACAATCATTTATACGCGCCACTGTGCCGTGGTCCTCAAGCATCCAGGTTGGTAACCGATGAAGCCTACGACAGTGACCCCGTAGCTAGCACTTATTATGTGGCACCGGCACAACATTGTTGCAGCGCCAATTATGTGCACGCCTACGTGTTGCTCAAAAAAAAAAGTTGCTCAAAAAAAAATGTGCACGCCTACGTATTCCAAACACGCCCATCACTCTCTGCTCTTCTTGATTGCACCAGGTCTACTGTTGCCGCCTGTCGTACGCACCCGCACCCGCACACGGCTCGGGTACAGATCACGCAGGCGCGAGAGCGATGCGGTCCACAGGCGGCTACCCCGTGCGAGCTGGCCCGTGAATCTGAGATTCTGCCTACGCAAATGAGGCAGGCCATCATTTTTTTCTGGAGCTCCATGTACCAAGTTCGGTGAACTTGTACTGTGATACTCCATCAGTATTACGTACATCTAATGCGCATTTGGACCCTACGGGGAAAATGTAGTTTATTGGGTGATTAAAAATTTCACTACTAGTCTCTTTGTTTTTTGAGGAACCCTGGAGTCTGGCCCACGTTCACATAATTACGCATTACATTTCTGTCGGCAAAGGTTGGGTGCGACCACTCAGGATCGTATTAAACTATCCTGAATTTAAAATCAGCGACAAAGTAAACAAATGCACAACCTGCTTGCTTTCGATTGTTTTTTTTTTTTTTGCAAAACTTGCTTTGCCAAAAAGAAGAGAACCTCCAGGACCAGGATTATACAATACTACGAACAGCAAATGGCAGTAGAGAAATGAATGCAACGCAACACCTCCCAGTCTCGCACAACAGCTGCACGAGTGGATTCCAACGTACAAATACACTAGAGAAAGCTGCTCTATCGTTTGGCTGTTGCGCACGGTCAGGGGCGGAGCCAGCGCCCGGCCAGCTGGGCACTTGCCCGGGCTCGATGCCTATGCGTACGCTGCACGATGTCCTGCGATAGCTGAAAAAATTGACGTACGGACCGTGATTTCCCGGGAAGAATTGTGTTGGGCCGGCTTCGTTTGGTAATGGGCTTTGTAAGAGCTAGGCCTAGCAAGCCACATTCTGCTGTCGGTTAATCGCTAGGTTGACACGCACGCACGTTCGGCTGTTGGTTAATCGATGTTTCTATTTGCTGATCGCTCGCCTCCACCTGCGCTGTTCGGCTTCGACTGCCTATCGCGCGAAAACAGACTGGCGGCGGCGGCTGGAGGCTGGCCTTGGCCTCGGCGCGCGGCTGACGGCGGGATGAGCGGATCTGTCCCGGGGAAGGCAGGAACGGCTTGCAACCTTGCCTACTCGTTCTTTCCTTCGTAATCAGATTAAGTAAGATTGCTAACTGATGTGCCTATCCACACATGTAGGTCAACCTGTTGAAATTTATATCATGATAAAAATAGTATTCGAACATTCATCGCAACCAAGTATCACAAATTACATCTGCCTCGTGCTTTTCTTTAACACACTATTCTATGTTCCATTTATTCCTACAAGCTCTGAATTTATGTGAACTCCGAATCTGTTTTTTATATTGTACTCCCTCCGTAAAGAAATATAAGAGCGTTTGGATTACTAAAGTAGTGATCTAAATATTCTTATATTCCTTTACAGAGAGAGTAATATTTTTTTAGGACATTTGGATGGTAATTTGGATAGCTATACTTTTGCGTGGAATGAGGTTAGTTTGCGAAAGTGCTCTTTTGATCCTGAGCTCATAGCTCCCGCATGAACAGTAAAATTCAAAAAAAAAGTAAAAGTTTAAAAAAAATCTGATTTTTTTGTGATGAACATGATGAATATTCTAACTGCGTGCAAAGTTTTAGGTTGAAATGACATTCGTGGAGGTCTGGGCAAAAAATAACAAAATTGATGCTCCAAAATGCTTCCAACAATAGTCTTTTTGGACCATCGATTTTAATATTTTTACCTAGACCTCCACGAATGTCAACCTGAAATTTTGCACGCAGTTAGAAAATTCATCAATGTTCATCACAAAAAAATCAGATTTTTTGAAAAAAATTTACTATTTTTTGGATTGTATTGTTCATGCGGGAGCATGTGAGCTCGGGATCAAATACTCCATGTCCGCTGGCCTGCTTCTATGACTTTCATTGTCAAGTCTCAAATTCATTTTGGTCTATGAAACTGAATATCGATATGTTACATATTAGTCCACTTTGAAACTATATTTTTATGACCTTGTTTTTAAATTCGTTTTTTTGTTATTAATGTGGATTTCTGGTAACGAAGTTCGGGGCTATTTTATATGTTGTATCTATCAGAACATCACATTTTAGTTTCGACATTAGACACATAGGCTCAAGCTTGCCCAGGCTCTAGAAAAGTTCTGGCTCCGCCACTGCGCACGGTAGAAGCGCGCGCGCACACATGCACGCCACCAAACAGCGTATACGGCACGAGTGTGTGCGTGCGTGTGTGTGTCTACCACTTTGCATCCTTTAGTTGGGGCAATCGATTTTGAAGGAAGGTAGGAGTGATG